GCTGAGGTGACTCACTGCACGTGCGCGCCAGAAAGGCGCCGTCGCGTGATGACGCCGTTGAGTTGTTGATCGCGTCAGGCGGGCTCGCGTGCTGGCCTTGACACAGATTGCCTTTTTCAGAGGCACGGACGTTCGCTGTAGACTCGCAGGCATAACAGCACCCCCGCCGCCAGACAATGCGCCGGAAAGACGAGCTGCTTCCACGTGGCTCGGATGTCAGGCGCGCTCGTTCACCAGGTCCCTCCAGGTTCCCCTCCTGGGCCACGGGGAGAATGCAGCTCCAGACTCCGTTCCGGGAACACATCCCATTCTTGAGGACGGATCCCAGCTTCACTGGCTTGTCGCCACAACTTGTCGGCCAGCTTCGCTCGTCTCTTCTGACGATCCTTGGCCTCAGCACTTGTCCATGGTTCTGTCGATGTCGATGGAACTTGTCAAGAACGGTTCAACAGCAGACAACACACGACACAAGCAAGTGCCCTCGGTCACCCGACAGAACACCAGACAAAGTATAGTACAACATATACCTAGCTACGTGTCTATCGGAATTTCGATCTCTCTACATCAAGAGGCACATGTGGGACACAAGACTCTTAAAATGAGAACTCAAATTTTTTTACACGTACAACAACGTAACGAAATAGAATAGAACATAAAGTTGGCTCCTTGAGCTCACTCTGGACGAGAGCGCTCAGCTAAGGTCGTGATGAGGTCAAAATTTTGCCCCTAATCGCCAGCGAGAAACCGAAAGGTGGAGAAGGTACTAACTAAAGGCACGGCTCAATGCGTCTGCATTAGCGTTTAGCTTTCCTTTTTTTTGTAGCGAACGTCAAAGTTGTGCTGTTGGAGCATCATGCTCCACTTCAGTAACAGGCCACTTTTAGGCGGGGATACCTATGCGGTACCGAGAGCGGCTCATACTTGCGACATTGCACAGGGGAACAACGATACGGCTTGCTAGGGATTGGCTCCTCACAAGTTTGCTCGATATCGTGTTCGATCACCGTCGTGTTTCCGGGACGGTCCGAAAACACGTCTCCAAACTCGGAAACAATCTTTCTCAAGTCCTCCTTCCGGACTTCACTTAACCTAGGCTCTAGGTTCAACTACTCCAAGATTACCTCCGATCCCCTTTCTATTACATCACCTGAACTCAATATTTCTGCTCCCTCTTCCTCTGAAGCATTCAAAAGCAGATTTACGACCGCTTGACGTTCAACGTATGGTTTCATCGAGTTACTGTGGTAAATTTTGTTCGGCCGCCTTCCTAATTTCGCTTCATAATTCATATCGGAAAGTTTCGATATTACTTTGACAGGCCCTTCCTTTTTGCAGTTGTAGCAGATTAGCGGCTTCCGTTTGTTTTCCGATTCTAGGATAGTTGCAAACTTTTGCTGACAGGTTATCGCGATGTGCCCTTCCTTTCTGCAGTTGTAGCAGATTTGCGGCTTCTGTTTGTTTTTCGATTCTCGGATAGTTGCAAACTGTTGCTTACAGTTTATCTCGATGTGCTCTTCCTTTTTGCTTTCATCCTTTTCTACGCGCACTGCCCTGCTATGCAACTTTCGGCGAGTATAATACTCCTCAGCTAACTCTGCTGCCTTGTTTAGCTGTACTTCACCAAGTTTGTCCTGCAGCCAAAGTTTGACATTCTCCTCGATGCAGCGGTAGAATTGCTCCAATGCAATGCATTCTACCACTTTATCGCGGTCGTCATAAACACCTTCGCCCTTGAGCCATTCAATTAAATCGGCTTTAAGACGAAACGCGAAGTCAACGTGTGACTCATTCCCCTTTTTACCATACCGGAACCTTTGCCTGAAAGCCTCGGGTGACAACTTATAACGTCTCAAGAGCACTTCCTTAACCTCGTCATAGCTCTCAAACGCTTCCCTTGACAAGCAAGTTATCGCGTCGGACACTTCGCCGGGAAGAAGAACTAACAGGTTCTGCGCCCAAAGAGACCGCTCCAAAGCGTTTCGCTCACAGACGTGTTCAAACTTGACGAGATACTTCGCCATGTCCTCGCCTACTACGAACGGTGGCAGTTGATCCCGAATTCTATAACCGCTGACCTGAACTGTTTGAGAAGCTATGCTAGGCGCCTGCGAACACTGTAGTATTGCCAATTCTATTCGTTTCAACTCGAGGCGCTCCTGTCTCTCGGCCTCCTCGCGGCGTTCTCGCCTTTCAGCTTCTTCACGTTCGCGAGCTTCTCGCCTTTCAGCTTCTTCACGTTCGCGAGCTTCTCGCCTGTCAGCCTCCTCGCGGCGTGCTTTGATATCCACCCAGGCCTCATCGACTTCCTCACCCAACACCCCCTCATCCTTCATGATCTCAAGGATCGCTTGCTTTCGTTTCGCACGGCCCAAAGTAATGCCGAGTTCCTCACAAAATTTCGATGAGTTCTTTCACTTTAAGGTTCTCCATCGTTCACACTAGCCTCTTGCTGTTTGCCCCTGTTAACAATTTACTTGCCGTACCCACTATAAGTCAACTAGCAAGACGCGCAAGCAATTTTTCACACTCCCGTGTTTACCCCCTCCGCATTAACTTCGGTTTCAAAGCACTTCGACTTTGCTTGAAACGATCAAAGCTCACTTCAATGCTTCACACAGCCCTTCTCTAAACTACTACAACCTGAGCTAGAGTAGTCTGGTGAACTGAGGGGAAAACATCAGGCACTCACCGCATCGATGTCGCTGACGCCGGCCGATCCCACCGCTGCCACCACTGTTGCGAAGCGCACCTCCGACGACGTTACGAAGGGCGCCTCGAAATCTCACTGCTGCAACCACTGTTTCAAAAGACGACGACGCCAACACGGTCCCGAAGGCACCACTGCTTCGAACTCCGCAGGGGAGGTCACCATCCGTTTGGTAGCGTAGGTTTCTCAGCTCGCGACTGCTTCTGCGCAGAGCTGATAGACGAGCGGACGAGACGACGGTGAGTTAAACAAGGTTTATGTACAGCATATATACAGAGGCGTTACAAATTCGGCACTGGGGCCGACAGCTTAGAGACCCGAAGAGCCGAGCTCTCCTCTCTAACACATAAGTCTGCTCTCAAATGGGTCTGCTAACACATAGCTCAACTCTCTATCACATAGCTCTCTTCTCTGACACACATGTCTGCTCTCACATAGGACTGCTGCGACACACGTCTGCTCTCCAACAGGTCTGCTAACACATAGCTCAACTCTGACACACAGCTCAACTGCGACACACATGTCTGCTCTCACTTAGGACTGCTGCTTGCGACGCGCTGCAGGGCTTCTTTTATATGCACCGAGTGAATTCTTTGAATAACAAAATGTCCAACCAGAAGCGCCGCTGGTCGTGAGGCCAGACTCCTCCAATGGGGTCGCTGCTGGGGCCGCGTCATTCTTTCTCATCGAATCTGGAGAGGCTGCGCTGCAGGTGGCTGCACCCAAGGACGAGTGACGTCGCCAGGCATTGCGTCAGACCCGCCAGACAGGAAGACGCCGGTTGTTTACTCGACGGGCTCGCGGGCTGAGGTGACTCACTGCACGTGTGTGCCAGAAAGGCGCCGTCGCGTGATGACGCCGTTGAGTTTTTGATCGCGTCAGGCGGGCTCGCATGCTGGCCTTGACACAAATTGCCTTTTTCAGAGGCACGGACGTTCGCTGTGGACTCGCAGGCATAACATGGTAGAGCATCGGACGCGTTATTCCAAGGTCGCAGGTTCAGTCCCTGCCCATGGCAAGTTGTCTTTTTGTCCACTTTTCTTTCTTCACATATACATTACAATTATTTCTAATAACATCATTATACTTGGCAAGATTGTTTATTAGATATCAATAATATTGTGTCAAAACACGGAAAAACGAGCCCTTACGTATACACTTTTTTCCTTATTCATTAACGAGGGTCTCGTACCGGCAGACTTGGTGCTATTCGTTTGTATACGAGGGACTATTGGTCAGCTGCCAGCTTGTAATAAGTTCACGTGCTACGTGACGCCAAACAGGCTCATAAAGAGTGTGCCACACTCGCCGCCATAGTTACTGGTGGCGCTGACTGACACTCCCACGTTTAAATTCACATATATACCCAATAAAGTGGCTGGGCGGATCGCTGCTGTGGTAGCTCAGTGGTAGAGCATCGAACGCATTATTTGAAGGTTGCAAGTTCGGTTCCTGCTCACGGCAAGTTATCTTTTCACCGACTTTTCTTTCTTCTCATTTACATTACAATTCGGTCTAATACCTTTCTGTATACTTTGCTTGGCATTATTGTCTGTTATATGTCATTAATATTGTGTCAAAAAACGGAAAATTGAGCCCTTATTGTATCGTGGGGCGGACGTGCCGCAGGGGGAACACAGGGCACGACGCTGAAGCGCCGGCCGACAAGAAGTACGGAGCCACTAGTAGCCAAGCAGGAACTCCTTTTATTGTGTCTAACAAAGAAAACAAGCCCTTACACTTATATTGTGTCTAACAAAGATATTGTTATATTGTGTCTAACAAAGAAAACAAGCCCTTACACTTACACTTTTGTAGATTTTTTTCATCATCTACAAAAAATGTAGCATAGCTGCCTTCAAGCACGTAATAGAGTATCTACTGGTGGGCAGACTGGTGAGAACCAAGCAGTCTGCTCAACCACCATCAAACATTGGACTGCCAAGTAGCTCGCATCATATTTGTCTTCATAAAGCTGTTCATTTGCCATCTGTGGCGAGTATTCAAACACACTCGCATTTGTAATGCACCATGTCTTTTGTAGCCTTTGTTACATTCTTAGGTAAGCTCCTGTGCAAGAGTTGCAGTGTTCTTTGCAGAATGTAGCATTACAGGCAGCAAGGAACTTACCTAGCGGTAATCACTCGCATTTGTAATGCACCATGTCTTTTGTAGCTTTTGTTACATTCTTAGGTAAGCTCCTGTGCAAGAGTTGCAGTGTTCTCTGCAGAATGTAGCATTACAGGCAGCAAGGAACTTACCTAGTGGTAATGTGGCATTGTTTGCTTTCCAGGGTCCTGAGGCATTCCTGCAAGCTCAGAAGGAAGTGTATCAAGCATTGGAGGAGCGCTATTACCACTCTTTTCTGGTGAGCGAAGCTTACCATAGCATGGTGATCGAGATGCAGAACCTTCACCTGGACGTTGGCACCTACAAAGAAGGTAGGGTCACTACACTGGCCTGGCAATATTGTTTTTCGTCGGGGGACCTCTAAGCACAAATGTGAATATAAATAATATTCAAATTATATTAGCAGCTAGAAATTCAAATGCGCTTGGGGACCATTTTGTAAGCCTTCTGTGACATAACGGAATCAAATGTCATGAAAGGTCAAAAAGGAGCGAATAGCCAATAGGCAAGCTGAGACTATTCAGAAATATTTTCCAGGCATGAAGAAATATAGAATTATCATAGGTGAAAATCAGTATTGGCAGGCACCATTTTCCAAAGCTCGAAATTGAAGAGCGCGATAACTTTAATAATTTATTTGTGTTAATTCCTTTAGTGGACGCTAGATGGTGTTGCAGTTTGATGAGTCGTTTTGTGGTGGGGTACTGGTTGTCATTTTCACGAACTGTCGCTGCGAGACTGGCGCAAGTCAGACACAAAGCTGGCTGATTCGGTTTTCCAGCGCCTATGCTTATGTTCCAATACAATCCAAGTCGTCTGGAAACTTTAGTAATCGTCCTATTGGATAGAATGAGACTTACATTCGTACTTTCCTTATGTGTCTGTTTTGTGCAAAAATGATTGACAGCACTGCCATTTCCGGCTCATATTCTTACATATTCATCATCAGAAAAGCCTCAACCAGTCTCGTGGGGCTCCCTTTCGTGACACTTGGTTGTGTTCTATTACCATACCTGCCAAGTCTCCTGGATTAACCGGTATTTTGAATGTTTCTTCCGGTTGTACGGGTCATAGGAAAATCTCCTGGAAATCCAGTTTTACCCTGCATGTCCAGCGCTTTGTCTGGCCACTTGAGCAAAGTGGTCTGGCCTCGTAGTAAAAAGGATTCTTTGTTTTTAACGATGTAGCAATGTTCAACTCGGTTCAATGCATGTTTTCGAGATGCCAAAATAGCGCCAGAACATATGGCCTGTCGAGTAGGAGCAGCGAAATCGCGCATGGCTGTGCAGTTTCTGAAGGTCATGTACATTAACAAAAAAAGAAAGAAAACTTTATTGTAGTGGAGGGAGGGCTGTGACCCTGTGGTAGGGTTGATGCTTTTGCTGGCTGCTGAATGTGCCAGCATTCCAGGAAGTAATGGTGGTCAGACTGCTCACAGTGCTGTGCCACTGCACTCCGCTGTTCAACTGACGGAGGTCGTTCCTGCACTATCATATCTTTTCTTGGAATTTCTTTGTTTCCCGATATAGGAAGTGGGCACTCGAACATTCACGCAGCCGTCCAACCCCCTGCCCCGTCACGGCACTGGTTTTCGGGCCAGACAGACAACTGCCGAATGTTTACGTTTGATATTACATGCTAGAGTAGGTAGTGACGTACAAAAAAGACTCCACCTCGTCCTCGTTTCACGTTTGTGTTTTGCAAGAATGCCGACTAGAACGTAGTTGGCATTTACCACGCGGGCTGCGTATTTTTACATTTACCACGCGGGCTGCGTTAGCAAACGGACGCACGCACCGAGGAATGTGTGCTTATCTTTGTGGCTGTTTTATTGTACGGATGCACCCATGCCTTTAGGCATGCAAACGTTAACCTTTGGGGTGGAAGGGGGGGGGGGGTAGGGTATAGTTAGCCCTTTACATTGACATAATAGGGAGGAGAGCGGCGACTGGGCGGACAGGGAGGAGGCAGAGGGCGATGCTGTGACGGACCTTCACTCTCCCCCACCTGTACCCGGAAGGGGAACTGGGCATCCTCATGCCCACAACTCACTACACACTATCTGTACCGTTCCTTTATGCGTCCCCTTTCCATGCTTCCTCAAGAAGCTAAGCTGAACTGTGCTTCCGCAAGGGTTCATCGAACCTAATGGCCGTTTGCCACGATTAACCAGCGCTTCTCTTTTTCCCAAGCCAGAACTTTCTTTTTTTACTTTTCCCTATGTTTTAGTTAGACCATTTTCTTCTCTCACTGTCTATTTTATCCCCATCTTCCTTATGGAACACTCCTCCCCCATATTCTAAGTTTTTTCCTCCAACATTCTTTTCTTTTTCTGTTTTTTTTTACTCATCCGCAAGGGTTGCTGAAAAGAGTGCATGTTACGCGCCCGCGTCTGGACTACGATCGGAGAAGGCTGAGCTGGCGAAGGCGAGTGGTTCGCGGGACTGTACTATGGTCCCTTGCCAGACGAGATAACTCCTAAACAAGCGAAGACATTCACGACAGGCCTCGCATGCGGAGGGATGTTGTCGCATGTGCCCTTCGCGCGACGGTGACAGCTGGGTCGTTTCATATTTGCTTCAGCCGCGTTCGTCCCCAGCACTAGCCCGCCTTTACTCGCACGTAAAACAGACGATGTGTAAGCGATCCTATTGGTTTGGACTCTGATGACAGCATTCATATAATTGCAATCGCAATAATTGCTCTCGCGATTCCATCCACTCCCATCTGGGAATTCGCCTCTCATGGGGGCCTGCGGGCAGGCCCAGAGAATGTGGCTCAAGTCCGCCCTGTTAGAAAATTTACACTTGTCCGAATGAAGTTTCGGCACGCAGCGGTTCATCGTTACCGGACTTGGGAACGTATAGCAATTATATGGACACTCTTGACTGGATTTTGCCACTGGCATCGCCGTTACTCACTGTGTATGTATACATATTTATATATATGAAAATGCAAGAAATAAAAAGATACTGAAAAAGACTCCAGCACGCGCAATCGAACATGGAACCTCTGATTTGTGTACGCAACAATATTGAATGGGTTTCTAAGCTACAAGGTACCTAAAGGGGCCATGAAACACTTTTTCAGGTACCGTATTTACTCACATAATTCGCGCACATTTTTTGCCGGAAAACTGATGCAAAGTTGGGGGTGCGAGAATTATAGGGGGAAAACTTTCCACGAAAACGTACAGAGCGAAAAAGAAAACGAAGTGGCCACAAATCGGGATTCTCACACCAGCAACTTACAGCAAGCTTTAAGAAGCACTTATTAGAACTCACCTCAACAATAAAAGCAGAGGTTCAAAACAAGGCAAGATTTATTTGAGACACAAAAAGTGCAGGCAAATAGTCTAGAATTAGAATACCATACGCAATGCTTGCGGGCGTTGTGGGCGTAACGGTAGCGTCGCTACCGTTACGCCCGTAATATTCGTTGCATGCTGCGATCGCATTCTCTCTTCTCTCGTCTTGACGAAAGCGCTGAAAGCTAAGCAAGAAGAGATGGAAGGGGCTAAGAAAATACATTGCCAGTGCCTCGTGACCTTGAGCACTTTCTCTTTTTTTTTTTTTTTTTTCGAAGGCACAGCTTTTTCGGTGTGATCGCACGCATGGACAAGTCTCGAAATCCTGCGGGGATCTCTTGAACGACCGAGCGAGTGATTTTCAAACCAGCCAATGGTTGATAGATGGGCTTTCTACGAGTGATTTTTCAGTGCCTTATGTCATTTATTGAGAGAAGAGAAAGCGATTTTAAGCTGACTATTATAATTTATTGTGAATTCCACGCCGCGTGCTGCGCTTTAATATTTGACTCGCGTGTTGTCGGCAGACTCCACTACTAATCGACAACGTTTTCTGAACATGCTCAAAAAGTGTTGCAGGGCTTCTTTAATGCCTGCGTGAAGTTGTTTTTCGTTCTGATGAATAGTTCATGAATTATTAATACCTCGATTCGGCAATTTACGGCTCCACATGTTCAAGCATTACTGATGAAGTGACAAAACTATTCAAGCTAAAACTGAAATTTTCAATATTCGTGCAGCAAGGTTTTCTCTGGGTTTTTATGAGGAGAAAATTGTGTTAAAGTACTTGCAAATCGGCTTGCCAGGTTTGTACAAATTTACTTTTTTCTTTTATAGGCTAATTCACTACAAGTATTGCTCATTAGCAGGACCATGTAACGTCTTGCAATTACTAGTGCTCACTAACTTTGTGAAGTCGCGCTTAAAACAGCAGATTTTTAAAAAATGATAAATCTTGCAAATATCTTTTCGTGGTGGCACCATCTGTGAAAAAAAAAAAAAAACCATGCAATTGTCTCATGTCAGTTTAGAGGTTTGTCAAAAGTGACACCGCTAAACATGACTGCCGCCGAAATACGTATGGGTTATTTATCCATACTTCATTGTTTAGCCCAGTGGCTAAATCTAGTCGCTATGTCTTCAGTGTACAATGTAACTCACGAGGGGCTGCTAAAAAAAAGAAAAAAAAGAAAGAGAGGGAGTGACAGAAAGAAAGAAGGGAAGAAAGCGTGTCACATTCCTGACAAGGAGTTAAGGCTATTGTGCCGAAAATTCTAGGACGAGCATAGTTGTCGCCTTTGTAGCCAGGGGACTGTAGAATCGTTTTGAAGTACACAAAGAACTTTACCTTGCTTTGAGACACGCAGGACATTACCTGGTAGTCTGCTTTCCCTTTGCAGGCAGGTGGTGAGTGTTTGGCAGTTTGTGTTCGACTATTTCACGTGAGACAGGTTGAACGATAGTATAACAATGGACCTTTTTCGAGAGACTAGTCTGCTCATGCGAACGGGTGGTGACTTCTTGATGCATGCCATGTTTTTTGCGGGGTCAGAAGGCCAAAAAGCTTCTCTAAATGTTTCACAAGGTGGCAACAGGTGCGAACTGAGGGGCATCTGGCATCGTTTGCAAATCCTTCCGAAAAATACCAGTGCGTGGCGGATGACTTCAGAGGCCACCGACCCCCAATTTCAATTCCTGTGATCTCCATGGAGGGGCTGTTCAGGCTTGAAAAAGGCCCATTGACAAGCTTGTGGATAGTTTGCGAGCAAGTTTGTGGGCAACAGTCTCGCTCGCTTATGTGCAATAACAATCTTGTAAGCTCTGAGTTAGCGAGCCATATTTCCCCGACTGCAGCAAAAAGTGCGGATGGCTGCATGAGCTCTAGTGTTCCTTGCAGCGCTCGGTAAAATGTCATGGGTCCCAACAAAGTTTGGAAACACGATTTTCAGTACGTGTTCTTCTCGATAAAAGATGTATTTGCTAGCGTAATGATTACACTCGCAT